TTACCTTTGTCCCGTTTAAACGTTCTCATTAAAAAATGGCACGATTATTTAGACAATAATTACATAAGGTAATTTAGCATATTATGAGAAATTATTTTGATGAGTATATAATATAATGGGGGCATTGATGATAACTGTGATGTTATAGATGTATTATTTTTATATGGTTTTTTTACAAGAATATTACTAAAATAAAACTTATTTACATAAATATGACTATTCATTACTACAACGTAGTGTTGTGGTAACTTGAGTTCAAAACTTGAATATGAATTACTATGATTTCATTATTACTCTAGTAACTACTCATATTTTTGTAAACCATCTTAATTTTGGTCATATTTATGTAATTATTTCTTTTTATATTTGATGATTAAAGTGTCATTTAAGAGTGTTAATTGTTTCTTAAAATAGAAATGAGAACATTTATATGGGACGTCCAAAAAAGGAAAGTCAGAGCCTTAAAATGGGACGGAGGGAGTATAAATTATGCCTCAAATCGCAATGAGGCTTACACAATATGCAATTTAAAAAAGTTGCCACAACAACGCATTACACAATTTCGAACTTTGCTCACAAAGTTAAGACAAATGACACTTCTACCCTCATTCATATAAAGGTTCTCATTTCTATTCAGACATTTTCAGCCACAATGTCAATAAATAAATCCAGTCATTCTGACCATAATATAATTAAGCTCAGTCAATCAGATGACAAAATCTACTCTTAGAAAACAGGCTCTCAAAGACACTTGTTTGATTTATTTCTTCAAGTGCAAAGATGAGTTTTTCAGTACCTGCATATTCTGGAGCAAGGTAACCAAATGTCCCAGCAAGCCCTGTTGCAACAGACACGTCTCTGTCAGGAGCGAGTTTCACCAACCCAAAATCAGAAACTTTAGCTCTGAAATCATCCCCAAGAAGAATATTGGATGACTTGAGGTCCCTGTGTATGAAGCTCTGGTGGGTGAGGCTGTGAAGATACTCCATCCCCCTAGCAACATCCAAAGCAATGCTCAACCTTTTTGTCCATGTCAGTGGCTCCAAGTCGAAACTCCTCCAGTGGAAAAGATGCTTACTCAAAGCTCCCTGTCCCATATACTCATACACCAAAAGCCTCTCATTCGCTTCAACTGAGTAACCCAAAAGTGAAACAAGGTGGCGGTGGCGTACTTTAGAAAGAACAGCAATTTCCGCCTGAAATCCGTCTACCACTTTACCGCTAACAATCCCAGCTTCCATTCTCTTAACCGCAACCTGAGTGCCGTTTTCGAGAACCCCTTTGTAAACCACTCCGAATCCTCCACGGCCAATTTCATTACAAGGGGAGAAGTTGTTGGTCACTGCGCGGAGGATCTGGAGTGGGATTGAGATATTAAGGTTTGGGGTTCCATCTTCGATCGTGGACTCATCTATGATCGTGATCCTCGCATCATCGTTCCATTGGTCTTTACTTGGGTGGAACATGGCCGCAGCACCATGAACCCTGTTTGACCTCCTCCTCCCTCTCTTCCAGAGGTAACAGAGGTAAATAACACATAAAAGAACAAAGACCGTAGACGCTACAGAGACCGCCACAGTGAATACAATGACAGATTTTGTGTCTGAGTCCGTAAAGTTCACCGGGAGGGGTGGGGGGCTGTCTACCAACGATGGCAGTGGCGGATGGTTCACTGTTAATGAACCGTTCACTGTGAAATCAGGACTAGTTGGTAGCTGCATGTTTGGAAGATCAGGCGGAGACAATACCATACTACTCGAAGGACTCAAAGCAACATATCCATTGGTAATAACTTTCACTCTGTCATTAAATTCCGGTAACGGCGCATCAAAGCTGTTCCCGCTAATGTCCAACAATCTCAAAGATCCCATTAAAGTTAAATCCGTAGGAACTTTCCCGTGCAAATGGTTCCCGAGAAGATGAATCTCAGCGAGTGAATTCATGCTTGCCAGTGATGAACTCAAGGTGCCATTGAGGTCGAGATTTTGGAGGTTAATAATGGAAACCTTACCGCTCGGGTTACATGTGATCCCCCACCATTGCCCCTTGCAAGGATCATTGCCTGTCCACTCAGCAGCAAGGCGAGGAGGGTAATTCAACTCATGAAGGAATTGCAATAGAGCATTAACTTCAGGAGTACAAGGCTCGCCCGGTTCCTGTTGGCAGAAAGAATTCGAAGAAAAAGTGACTTTTAGTGCTCTAAACTTTGGAATCGCACCCATCAGTAAATTTCCGTGTAGTCCTAATGTCTGCAGATACAAATCAGCCAAACCTTTGGGAACAAGACCGACGAGTTGGTTCCCATTCAGGTTTAGATCCTTCAAAGAAGTCAAGTTCCCAATATCATTTGGGATTTCTCCACTAAATCTGTTTCCATTAAGCCTAACGGACTTAAGCCTGACCATAGATCCTATGACATCAATCGAACCACACATCCCATCACCACCCTGACCACTCAACCACAGAACCTGCAACATAGAACTGCGAAAACTGTTTGGGATATCACCAGTAAGTCTATTTCCAGAAAGTTTCAAAGCAATCAGAGACGGAAGTTCTGCGAAATACCCTGGCAAGGGTCCCACGATATTGCAATTTGAACACGAAAAGTTGGTCAACCGGGAAGACCTCTGAAGGTCTGAAGGTATAGACCATCCTGTTGACTTATTCAACGGGTTATCATCCATAATCAAAACACGGATACTATTAAGCCCATGGAAGAAATTTGAAGGGATAGTATCAAACTGGTTTCCATCTAAGGACACAGACTGTAGATTTTCCAAACCATTGAAAGTTGGGAGTTTGCCATAAAATTCATTCTTCTGAAGGCCAAGACTTTCCAGGCTATCGAGCTGATTAAAGTCTTGAGGCAAAAGACCTCTTAACCCCAAACCTTGAACCTGAATCTGTGTGACTTTGCCTTCAGAGCAAACGATGTGGGGCCATGTAGGGGGACCACAAGGGTCATTTCCGTCAGAAGGCCATTTTAGGAGCTCTGGGTTCTCTAGTCCGTTTTTGAATTCATTCAGAATTTTTAAATCATTTGCATTTGTCACACCGTAGACCACGCTAGAGCTCCAAAAAAGAATTGCATAATATATCCATATACTCACATACAAGATTCCTCTGTGATCAACAACCATTTTCAAGCACAAAGACCCCCCAGACCTCTTTGGCATGAAGAATCCAAACCATATGATAAACGGCCAGAATTTTGATCCAGTAATCAAGATATGTGAAAAACAAGACAGAAACTTTGATCCACCACAAATCAAGAATTCTGAAAAAATAATTTCTACCAATCTCAAAAAGGAGATGCTTCAGGGGAAATTTGGGCGCCTTGGGAAGTGGATGGGAGAGAGAACTGGGTTCTAAGTTCTAATCTAGGGTTTTCAATCTCTTTTTTTTGTGTAGATCAAACCCTGATTAAGACGAATGTGCAAATTCAAGACCCCATTCTTCTCTCTCCCTCGCCCTTGTCTTCCAATCCTTTTATTTCTCTCTTCTATTTTCTTTTGCTGATTTGCATTTACTATTTCTTTCATCTTTTGTTTTCATTCACGGTCTATTGATTATCCTACTTTCTTTTCCTTTTTTCCCTGTGATTTTATTTTACGTAACTTTTCAGTTTAGAATGTTGGTAAAAGCCAAAGGGCATTTTATTACTGGCCAAATTACTAAATATTAGTTTAATGTTCAATTTGGCGCAATGTTTAACAGGCGCTAGGCGAGCGTCAGCAAGCGTGGACATAGAAATTATGTTTTTACCAATATTTTTGCGTACACATGATAAGTATTATTGTGATTGTGTTTGTCCATATATACACACGCGCACACATTAACATGCATGAATGGTAGGACCGTCACACTTAATAAGTTAATAGTATATTATAACTAATCACTTAGCTTAATTATATAATACGATAGTATATACTAAATGATAATAAAATTTAACAATATATACAAGCATATACAGTTTTATATTAATCTACAAGTAGCTTTCTTCATATTTAAAGTTAAAGTACATATCTCTTAGAAAAATAACACACAAAGAAAAGCAAAAAAAAGGAAGAAATGTTCTGCGAAACTAGACGCCCTAGGCGGCTGATTAGGCACTTAAGGTGGGCAACTAGGCGGCCGACTAATTTACCTAGGTGTCAAACCAATTATTTGGGACGCCTAAACTAAAATCAGGGTGCCCAGGCGGCGCCTAGGCGGGTACCTAGAGCGGTCTTTGGAACAGTGATTTCACATAACCAATGAATTCTTTACCCACTTATGAATAATCAATGAATAAGAAAATCTTGGACTAATAATACAAGAACCTATTGCAGAGAAATTTTCTTTAGAATCAGATTGCAGTTCTCAAATAGAAGAATGGAGATTATAAGCAAATGATAAAATTTGATATTCAAATAGTATGTTTTACTAAATAACTTTAGTTGGAAAAAAGATATCCACAAATCCTTGTTTCTCCCTTACAAATGGAAATGTGTGAAGTAGTTATTATTACAGCCATATTACATTCATTTTATTAGACATAAAATAAACATATGGTAACAATAAAGCCTTATCCAAGACTACCAATCTGTTGTCACATGTGCAGCAAAGCAATTGCTATTTGAGATATTTTTATTTATTTATTTTTTTATTTGTCAAAAGTATGAATTCTTCAAAATATCTTATGCCAACACACTCTTCCTGCAGTGGTCACTGCAGGGCCAAATACAGCATTGATAAAAATTTGCAACATAATTATTTCCTTAAAGCCTAACACCAATAGGGGTATTTACTGTACAAGGATTTAGGAGGAAAGTGGGGATGAATTATTTTTCAGTTAAGAAAATTAATATATCTTGAATTTTTAACATAACAAGTATGATACATAGTAGTATAAATCCAATATCTTATTAGTCATTTATTTATTAACATAAAGGCATAAACTATATCATTCTCTTAACTTAATCTTTGTTTCCCTCCAAAAACCCCAACTCATAAACATAGCCGATAGAAAAATTTATAAGCTTTTATTTAGTGATACTCCCAAACATGAAATGTATACACACACCCAAGCACGTGCGCACACATATACAAGATGCACCACTATTACAAAAACTTACATATTTCAGGAAAGAGATCGACTTTCCTATGCGCCTCATAACTACGAGTACTTGAAGAATGGGGCAACATCTCTCAGGTACTTTCTGATATCCTCAATAGCTTTAGTGGAAAACGATTCATCTTCGGGATAATGAGCAATCGGATCAGACAATAGAACATGTTCTGAAACATTGAGCACACCTTCGAGAGTCGCGTGGAGGCAATAAGCTGAGTAAGTGATGTGATACCCTCCCTCTTGGACAATTAAGAGCCTGCCCTTGCAATATTTGTCAGCAAGGAATCGGACTGCCCGTCCTATCTCCCTGTAACCGTCCATTGTCAAGCACTGCCTTCCATTTGGATCAAACTGAAACAAAAGATAATTGCTAGATTGAGGATCTTTGATAGAGAATGAAAAGAAAATTTTTAGCTAGTTGGTACTCCAAATTACACAAGATACTAACTATCCGCAAAGATCAAAATGCCAATATACTTTTGTTGTCATGATTTTCAGTATTAACTAATTGAGAAAATTCACGAAATAGGAGTAAAAGCAATGAAAATTTTCAAGATATGAGTACTATGTTTTTCCCTCGGAGTACGCTACCGTCATCCTGAAAATTTACTAGCATATTATGGTATTACCAGGCTTTAAATATGGCAATATATTGCCATAATTGGCAGTATTTTCCATACATGACAGTAATTACTCTTATTTAGGGAATAAAAACATCATGTATGAAAGATACATATGGGTTTGGTGCGGGTTTTAAGAAAATAAAGGATAAAGTGGTTGTTTTACAATTCTAACCTCCAAAAAGTATGAAAGAGAAAATGGATCCACAAAAAGTAAAGGGTGAAATGATATAGATAAAGGGATAAAGCGGAAAAGTAAAAAGTTAGTGGAATCCAATTTAAGAAAGTGCATATTTTTGGGATAACCCAAAAAGGAAAGTGTATCTTACAAAATGGGATGGAGGAAGTAATACTCATGTTTTAGAATTCCAAAACATAAAATTTTACTCCCTTTGTCCCATAATTTTCTTCCTGTTTTCAGTTTGAGATGTCCGAATTATTCTTCCTGATTCCTTTTAAATAAACTTTGGGGTGATTTACTGATTTGTGTTTCTCTCCTTTCTAAATGAACCACTACAACACAAATTTCTATCCTTAAATAGCATACCAAATGAAAGCAGTACAAAAATCATGAGACAGAGCCACAGAGAGTACAACGGACAAAAATATGACTACTTACTAGTTTGGACATTAATTTTAAACCATCTCTAATCCTAAATAGATCCCTACATCTCTTTCTCTCCTGGAAATCAAATTCCCATTCGCTGCCCAGCCGCCAGCTGCAGGAAAGTCACCTAACGTCACCGTCTGCCAGGATTTTCCAGGGAAAGTTATGTAAAAGTGGTTACAAACTGCCCACCACCAGTTGCAGTTCGTGTGGGGAGGTGTCACCGGCAGTAGCGGTGAGGCACTATGGCGGTGTCACTGAGGTTGGAGTAGTGATGAGTTAACAGTGACATAGAAAGTGAGATACTTAGTGACATTTTTGGATTATTTTAGAATAGTAATGTATTTGTCTTTAACTTTTCCTATTGTCATATTTCACCAGAACTCCTTAGCTGCACTATGAATTTGATGCCACCAGCTCCAACTATTTGGGATTAAGGTTGAACTGATGATGACTGAGTGTCCTCAACACAATTTCCACGATACAGAGCTATTTGCAAAAGAAACTCGATGGACACCTAAGAGAATAAAAATAAAATCCCTTTCGATAAAAAAAATGGCTTAAGGGTTGTTTGGTCCAAAGAATGTCATATTACTTGAAAATGTTCGATTTTTGTTAAGATAGATTGCAATGGATGGATCATGGATGTGTTTACTTTGTGTATGGTAAACGTGTTTGGAATGTAAAATCATCTTGTTTGGTTTGAGGTTATCACTTTTACTTTTACCATGTGTTTTAAGTTTTAACAGTATCTACAAATAGTCTCCTAGGGAAGTGCCAAGTGCCAGTGCATTAGTCCCTTGAGTAGATAAAATATTTGTAGCATTTTGTTTTGAAAAACTTGAGGCATTTATGTCTTCTTCTAAAAGTGCCTATACATTGTGTAACCGACTATGGATGAGATGCCACCCACTTTGGGGGAAAACGTTTGTTGTATTGTGGTGATGGTGTTACATGCCATTGGAATCTTAGATGAAGCCGACCAAGTATCTGAGACACACACACACTTATATATATACACAGACACATACGTACATATACATACATACATACATACATACATACATACATACACACACACACATACACACACATATATATATATGAGCTATGTATGTGGTCTAAGATACAACAATAGGACGAGCCATAGGGCACATTTAATGTGAACCATTATGATGGTTTGCTTAACATTGGTATGTTTATGGGCAGGAAGCTTAAAAACATACAATGATGTGAAGTTTAGTATCCTATGAGTACCAAAAATACTACCCAAAAAAAACTAGGATTTAGTGATTTGCATTGAGACAGAGAATTTATGACAAAACCTGGGTTGGGATGGAATGGAGTACAATGATGATAAGTGGAAGGGACTTACAGCACTAGAGTCCAGGCCAATAACAAAAACTACCAAATCAGGCTCGAACTTCTCAATAGCGGGGATGACTAAATGTGTCATTGCACAAGCATAACCCCTATCTCCCGTTCCATTGGGCAAAGGAATATTCAAGTTATACCCAAACCCTTTTCCCTCTCCAAGCTCATCTACTGTTCCCCTCTGCGGATGGGAAGGACCCCAAGATCCATGGTTCATATGAAGAGACACAGTGAGAACTTTTTCTGAACAAAAAAAACCTTCTGCAGTCCCGTTTCCATAGTGGACATCAATGTCAATAACCGCAACCTTTGCATGACCAGCATCCAGAGCTAGTTTAATAGCAAGGCCGGCATTGTTGAGGAAACAATAGCCGTCTGCTTGAGACGGTTGGGCGTGATGGCCAGGCGGCCTGACCAACGAGTAGGCCATGTAAGCATGCCCGTCAAGTATGTGCTTCATTGCAGACAATGTTGTACCCGCTGCAAGTAGGGCACACTCCCATGACCCTTGTTTCAAGAATGTTCCTGAACAGAGTTCTTTCCCACCACTTTTATCTGCTTCAATCAGTTCGTTTACATACTCTGAACAGTTAATGAAACGAAATGATTAGTTTTTTATCTTGTTCGAGTGTAAAATGAACAATTTTAGGTAATTTCAAAGCCAACTTGCACAATATTTACTAGTAAATTCAAGCTGGTCAGTAAGTGCAACAGCGTACATGGGTCGGATTGGAATACCCTAATACCTAGTTAGTAAAATAAGGAGGAACAGTCTAGTCTATACAGGGTGAGTGAAAACCAGCGACTTTCCGATAGAACAAGGAAAGGAGTGGAGACAAATCGTACCTTGGGTGTGGAAAGAGAGCAACTCGGAGATGAGAGCAGGTCTTCCACGGTGCCAAGAAAGGAAGGGAGAAATTGGGCCTCTTTTGAGGATGGAGACCATATTCCTCACCCTGTCACCATTCTCTGGGTGATTCTCCAGCACATCTAGAAACCCGGGGTCAATCCCGGAGTCAAACACGCCTCTACCGGCGTCGTGGTTCAGCATACCTTCGTGCCAGAACACGTGTATGAGATCTCCGGCTACGGCAGAAGCACTGGCTGAAGCCATGAGAACCTCTTCAACTGAGTGGGAATCCCAGTTCCGCCGTTGACTTGAACTTCTTTAGCAAAATTAGACGGAATTAATTTGGCTATCAAATAGGACCTGAATTGAGCTTTTTAACGGGTCCTCTCAACTTAATTCAATTCTGAACTAACAAAAGGTCCAATTCGCACCCCGAAACCGGCAAAAAATGATTCAAATTTCAGGTCCAATTTGCACCCGAAACCGGCAAAAAATGATTCAAATTTCATATTTTACAGGTAGCCCAATGGCCTTCACAGCCTCCTCTTGAGCCCCGAGATGCAGCTCGGCTAGACCCGGTGGATACTATCGACGCTTGTCCCCTCGGTTATTCCTCGTCGTCATGCGCCTACCCTCCATTTCTGGAAAGAAATTTGGATGAGTCATTAGACTTCTATCAATGACAATTGACGGAAGAATGTTATAAACACATATTGGCCAAAATCACTGTCATATCAATTGTTAAGGGTACTGTCTTAACAATTAGATACATTGCAACTTAGGTAGCAACAGTTCTATAAGCGTTAAAATACAATGCTCATGGTTTTCGGTAAACTCTTTTGTAAAATCTGTTTTGAGAGGTTGATTACATAGTTTAGAACTGAGATGGCTCTGATACCATTTAATTGTCACACACCAGACCGCATCTAAGCGCATGTACAAGATCCGTATGATCAAGTGACGTCACTCGCAAGTCAACCTCACTTAATCATACAAGGAGTTCGGGAAAATAATACATCCATACTCAATAGTAAACATACATAACATCATCACATTTAAACCAATGAATAACGGAAATATTCAACGATAAATCATAAGCCACACCTGGCCAAGACATGGGCATGCAAGCCCAAATATAGTTTATGTCAAGTTAAATATCCATGAGCAAATGTTTGGTAATTTGAAAGAAAATAAGGAAGCACGAACCACGTCTCCCTTGAAATGATATCACCCGTAATAAAGTGTAGATAGCAAGCTCTAACTTCAACCTGAAAATGGTGGTGGCCCCCGAAGGGATCAGTACAAGTACCAAGCGAGTAGCAGGCTAAATATAGGATAACTAGCGTTTTAAGTATAAGACCCAAACATAGGGTGATACTTACATATATAATTCTTTTCCCCCAAGTTATGAAATACTCATTAGTATATATATACACTTGGAAATACCCGACCCGTAGGTCGTCGTTTAATTTGGAAAAATAGTATTAGTCAATGTCCTTGACTTAAAAATCCCAACTCACCTATATACCTATGAGTGTATAGGACTCCTCCTTGTCCATAATTCATAAATCATAACCTATGAGTTTTGAGGATCATTTGGTCCTTAGGTACTTCACCAATCCACATTTCTGAGTTTTTAGGACTCATTAGTACCTAGGGGTTCTCCACCATTTATATTCCGAGTTTTGAGGACTCTTTAGTCCCTAAGGGTTCTCCGCCATTTATATTCTGAGTTTTGAGGACTCTTTAGTTCCTAGGGGTTCTCCACCGTTTATATTCTGAGTTTTGAGGACTCTTTAGTCCCTAAGGGTTCTCCACCATTTATATTCCGAGTTTTGAGGACTCTTTAGTCCCTAAGGGTTCTCCACCATTTATATTCCGAGTTTTGAGGACTCATTAGTCCCTAAGGATTCTCCACCATTTATATTCTGAGTTTTGAGGACTCATTAGACCATAAGGGTTCTCCACCATTTATATTCCGAGTTTTGAGGACTCATTAGTCCCTAAGGGTTCTTCACCATTTATATTCCGATGATCTACCACATATCAACTTAGATATGGTCTATATCATAATCATTTATTCATGGCTAAATCAATTCAATAAGCCTATACAAATCTATTCATGCAAAGCCATACACTTATATTAATTTATGGGTAAATAATATCAAACGTATTGGTTACCCCGTGGACAGCCGGTCAACGTTTCGTTGACCGCCATTTAAATTCTCATTCATATCAAACTTAATCACTATGTGTATTAAGTTAATAATATTCATTTCATGCTTTCTGTAAGGAATAATTGTATTTAGATTTTGATGATGCTAGGTTGATTAGGATATTAGAGTACCCCCATTAGAAATTTTGTATTCAAATTTTTCTAAGTGTATGCACTAAAGTATTCGACTGGACAGAAGGCCCCAGGAATAATTGTATTTAGATTTTGATGATGCTAGACTGATTAGGATATTAGAGTACCCCCATTAGAAATTTTGTATTAGAACTTTTCTAAACGTATGCACTAGAGTATTTGACTGGAAAGAAGACCTCGGGTCCTCTGTCACTCTTGCCTATCAGAAGAGCTCAAGGTGTTTGTGGACTTAGCATCCTCCAAATGATCCACCGGAAGATCTCACACTTAGAGAATTCAATGCATGCTACCTCAGCCTGTTAATCTAACGGGAAATTCCCTAACGGCTAGGAGCCTCTCAACGGAAAAGCTACATGACACGTATTTAATGTTCATTTAATGAGCTCCACTCGTTGAGATATTTAAAGCTGATGATTGACCAAGGATCCAGGCGAATAATATTTAATGCGCTCCGAAATAGCAAGTCGTCTACTTTTGGATTCAACCAGTCAAATCAACAACACAAGCATTTAATGAAGTTGTCTTCTACAACTCCAACGGGAAGACAACTTTCAGTATATAAGATACACTCTGAAGAAACTGGCTGGACAACTTACTCTCTACGAACAAAATTCAAACAAGCAAACTCTTGAGATCTCATCTTCCTCACCTTCAACAAGAAAAAGCTTGACGTTGGATAAGATTATACTTTCATACCTCAGTATCCAACAAGAGAGAAAAGTTCCTCCAATACTTCAACACTTCAAGAACTTCATCTACATATCTTCTTTGAAGAATTTCGGAGATAACCCTTTTTATTCACAAAGAACTTCTTATTTAAGAAGGACGTCTTAAAGTAACTGGAGTAGTGAAGTGGAGATACTTCAAGAAACTCAGTGAAACAAGACCAGTCATCAGGAAGCTAGGAAGAGCATCCTGGGTGACAACTAGATTTGAAGAAGACGAGGAGTGCTTCTTAAGTGCTAGGAGCTAAGACGTTGTAATCTACGTTTTTACAAGCTTAGTGAAGCAGTGGACTAGAGAAACACGTTGTTCCTTGAACCACTATAAAAATCTCTAGTGTTATTTACTTACTTCACTTCATATTTGCTTTAGACTCTAACTGATTAACTCTAAAAGACTTGGACTCTGTGTTCAGCAGATCTTGTCCTAAGAGTTAATAGAAAGGCAACTGCCTTAGTAAGTTCTTCAGACTATCCGAACAGGACACCTACCAGAAGACCATCCGCTGCCAATCTGTTCTACTTGAGAACCGACTATTCTGTTAAGTCTGGTACTTAAACTTCAAAAAGTTAAAAACCAGAACAGTCTATTCACCCCCCCCAGACTGTTCCTTGTATAACTGGAACCAACAAGTGGTATCAGAGCGACAGAGCCTCCTTGTTCTTGTAATCTCTTAGGTTACTCCCTGAACAAAGATTCACTTGTTTTCAGATTTCCTTTACTTATTTATCATGGATAACACACTTTTCAAGAATCTGATGTTCCCAGACAACAAGTTCAATGACTAGAGGATTCGGATGAAAGCACATCTTTGTGCTATGCATAATGGGATGTGGGAAGTACTCAAAAATGGCCCTATCAAGGAGTTCAAGAAGGTGAACCCTCTACATGCCTCTGATGGAACTCAACCACAAATGATAAACAAAACAAGATCAGAATGGACAATTAACGAGAAGAGAAAGTATAACCTTGACAACATTGCAAAGGATATTCTCTACAAAGTCATTGATGAAAGGTACTTCAACAAAATTAAGAAGTGCACCACAACCAAAGAGATATGGGACACTCTCACTCATATGAGATGGTGATGAGCAGGAAAGAGACAACAAACTGACAATAGCCCAGAAGAAGTTTGATAACTTCAAGCTTCTACCAAAGGAGTGCATCTCAGAAATGTATGGACGTCTGCTGACCCTTACAGCAGAAATATCTGAACTTGGGAAGGAACTCTCTATAAAGGAGATCAATCTCAAGGTACTAAGAGGTATACCCCCCAACATGGGAAATGAAGGTCGGGGCAATAAGAGTGAGCAAAGATGTCAAGACTTATCCAAAGAAAAGCTCATTTCAGATCTCAAGGCTTATGAGTTTGAGATGCATGAAGATAAGGATGATGTACCAGAAGAGAGGACCACTACAGCTCTAACAGCCAGTACATCTAAGGTAAATGATTTTGACCCTTCTGTTTTATTATCTGACGAATATATGACTACTTTTGCAAGGAAGTTTAAGAAGTTCATGAAGAAACCCAAAGATGGTAGAAGTCCATCTTCCAACAGAAGTCCCCTCCAAAAGACCAAGTCTTCTGATAGCAGCGGGGAACTCCTCTGCTACAACTGCAAACAGCCTAGTCATTTCAAAGCCAACTGCCCCCATCCATTGGTGTCCAAAAGGCAAGGACAAAAGGGAGAAAATGTCACGCCCCAGACCGCATCTGAGCGCGTGTACAACCGCCGTATGACTAAATGACGTCACCCGCGAGTCAACGTAACTTAGTCAAACAAGGCGTCCATGAACATAGTCCATACCATACTCAGTAAGTAAACATACATAACAACATCACATATTAGGATTGAACGAATAGCAGAAATATTCAATATTCAATCGTGAGCCACACATGGCCAAAACGTATGCACGCAGGCCCAAAACAAATGTATTTATTACAAAATATCATGAGCGTAGTTTATAGTTTGAAAACAATAAAGGAAGCACGAACCACGTCTCCCTTTGGATTACTTCACCGAGCAAGGTGAGAATAGCGACTTGGGCTTCAACCTGAAATGGTGGGCCCCCCCCGAAGGGGTCAGTACAAGTACCGAGCGAGTAGCAAGCTAAATGTAGAATAACTAACGTTTCAAGAATAAGACCCAAACATAGGGTGATACATATACGTATAGTCCTTCCCCCAAGTTTTGAAATACATATTAGTATATATACACTTGGAAATACAGGGGAACTCATTTGGTCTCCTGAAGCCAATGGGAAATTCAGTTTGTCCTCAGCCT